ATTATTGAGATTACGGACTAACACTTTGTTGTATGGACCTTTTAAACATGTCCATAGATCATGTTGCGTCTTTTGTTTCATCAAAATTCTCCTCTTTATGGTTTCTAAAAGGTGTGCATGGATATTTGTGGGATTCCTGAAGGCCAGTGGTCATGCTGTGAGCAAGCCAGGTAGGCACCAGGCCTAGATAAAAGGGCAGATGGGCGCCAGAGGGGCACCAGGGTGCCGGACCTAGCTTAATAGGATGAAAAGACTGTTGAATAAAAGATAAGGAACAATCAGATAAGGAGCCAAAGAGTTGAAGACAAACAGGAAGAGGGGGACGGTCGTTAAATGTGAAGACACGTGGGCACTGTTAGTTAGCCTCTGCTAGTTAGCCTATCACACTGTATAGTTAGATGCGTAGACGCGGGGTCTTAACCAATCATTGCAAAGAAGCGCTCGCGTGTACGGGGAAGTCTTGCATATAAGCGCGATTGGAACCCTGAATAAACTGGCACTGCTTCATCACATTGATCGTGTCTGTGGTGTCCGAGACCCTCACGTCGACAGATATTCACAAGTTAATATTCAGTGTTTTATTGATAAAACTTATCAGCTTTCATGCTTTCTTGTGGTGCTTCTTAAGGACTTGCCTCATTATAGAAGAAAGATGGAGTGGTGTACTTGGGAGAAGAAACAGGAATTTGAGATTATTTGATTTCAAAAATCCACCCTATTCTGGAAGACATAGCATTAAAAAAACAAACAAACAAACAAGCACACACAACCTTGAATTGTTCTTTTGAAACTCCTTTGGGATGATCCTTTGCTCCTTCAGTAGCAATGGTCTTACTGCAACAATTATCACATAGATTATTTGAAACAGTTACAGTGGTATTTGTTGGTGGAGTAGGAAACCTTGTGGGAGTAGGGAACCTTTGTTGGTGGAGTAGGAAACTTCCTGGTACAAATTACCTGCTTTTTATCAACTTGTTCACAATCTATATTGAGGATCACTGCCTTAATACAAGCTAATTAACCAATTTACCTATGGAAATACAAAATAATTTTAAATTGGAACTTATCATGCTTTATTTGCATGTTTTTATGAACACAACTTATGTCGATTTTGCCATGGAGGAATATACAAATTCTGGAGAAGACAATTAGCATTAGTCAAATATGTGGCATTTTGTGATTTTAAAAAAAGTGCAGTGTAAGGCCTGAGTGCTTAATGTTCTCATTTAGGGCCCTGGATCAAGTTTTAATTGAGAAGTCTAAGAAACAGTTACAGATTTGTGTAGGAAATTAGAAAAGATCTTCTGATTTTTGTCACGAATTAAGTACACTTCCTTTTCATTTAAATGCAGAAAAAAATGACTCCTGCCCTTTCTTCCCCTGACATTCCTTTTGGAGCACCGCATCCCGTGTAAGGGTCTATAGGAGGTGGGAATTTTTATGATCTGTAGGGTCATAAAATTATTGCACAAAACAGAATCCAGACCTTGAGACAGAAGACGTTTGCCCACCTGGGCTGAGCGATAAGGAACACAGAGGCAGCTGCTCAGCCAAAGCAGTTGAAGGCAGCTGCTCGACCCGGCTTGTAGCCAACTTAACCCCAGACATCCTCTAAACTAGTTTGAAGGTCAAACACCCGAGAGGAAGGAAGAAGATGAGGAAGGCAGGACCCTCAGACTGAAGGCTGGGACCCCTGCACTGGTATGCACACCTGCACACCCAGGAGGAAAGGTTATGTGACTGAAGGTGGAGTTTGTCCACCCCTCCATCCTGCCTGCTGGCCCGTGCTGGCCCTACATGGCAGGATGCACCGGGGATTAAAAAGTGTGGAGAGAGCAGGGGGAAGGAGAAATTGCTAACACTGAGGCCTACATTGTCTCCACAGGGACACCCACCAAGTTAGGAGCCTGTCAGTAACCCTCTAATCTGCCAGCTCGAGAGGATGCTCGGTCTCAGTGTCCTGCTGGCAATTATTACCTCGTGAATAACTATCCATACTTTGTTTCTCTGTTTGTGTTTTCACCTGAATAAAGGCTCGCCATAGCCACCTCGCTTTGTGTTATTATTGCTGAATTCCGAGTCCATCTGCAACATAGGGGCACCCTGCTTTCCAGAGGGCCATTAAAATCCAATGTTTTGTCATGTCACTGAAGCAGAAGTAGATGGACAGGTCTCTATATTACCTACCCCAATAGTGCCATGGAGGAATTAATCTCCCCTTAACACAGGTTAGTTGAAATTAGTACCATTTTATGCCAGCACACAATATTTGAAAAATTTATGTTGGTCAAAGCATGAAATGCCTTGTTCTGTTGACTCCACACATAGAACAGCAGTCCCAGTGTATTAAAGAGTTAAAATTCATCCATCCTGTTGGGTTTGCCAGTTCACACACAAACTAAACCAGGCAATGGTATTTTCTTATATTTGCGAGAAATAGAGTGGTACTACCTGAAGTCACCTCTGAGGGTCTCCATTAGCTTTATCAACCAAAGCATGTTAGGAATTAGTACAGGCATATGCATTTTTCTTTCATATCCTCCATAGCATATATATATAAAAAAAATCCCAAAATACATCCTCTTAGCCATGCACATGTAACTCTGGATCTAAGGCAACTCCCTGGTTCATTGCCTGGTAAAGGTCATTAAGGATTTTGACTATGCCTCATCATGCATTCAATAGCTGCATTAGGTCTTGCCACCCTTTCAAGTTACAGCATGGACTGATATACAGACAAAACACTGCTCTGTGGCACTAAGATGAACTCCTGTCTACAAGCTTGAGACCATAAAGAAATCTCAAGCTGGCAAAGATCCTTTTTTATTCTCAGATTCTGACACACGTTACACCTTGGGAGCTAGACATACCAAAGGGACCTGTCTTTTGTCACCACAGGTGCTCAAGTAGCACTTCTTACTTACCTCAAGACAACAATTACTTTTGCTATACATTGACCAAAATGAAGCTTAATGAGCTCTGATACAATTTAGATGAGACCATCTAATCATCTTTGGGATTGACTGCACCATGCTTATTAGCCTGAAGAACTGAGGAAATATAATTCTGAAAAGTTTAAATGGACAATTATAAGTCAATCACAGTAAGATTAAGAATTAACTTTGGTGGATATAATTTTGCGGCACTTAGATTTTGTAGTACTTTCTTAAACAATGAAAGCTGAACTACTGCCTCACTAGTTTCCAAGCATATAATGCCTTTATAAAGGAGATTTACTATTTCCTCCTGCTATTTGCTAGTATCTCATCATAAAACATTTCAGATGTACCTGAGTCCTATTAATCAGTGCATGCATTACATGTATGAAAGCTGTACAGTATATTTGCTACAGGATGCAGAAACAGTAGGGCAAGATTTTTGTTTTTGTTTAGAAGCAGCCTATGTAAATACATTCGTATTACAAAAGAGTGGAACTATACTTCATTTAGAATATAAGAAAGCACAACCAGCTGCACTCCAGTTTGAAATCTGTGCAAATCAGATAGAATTTTAGCAGTACTTATACATTCTTTAACTGCTGACCTTTCAGTACAAAGCAGCACACTTATTTCTCAGAACTCATGGTGAAAACATCAGCAAAAAACAGCCTCAGAAGTTTAAAGCCTCATCAGAAAATGTTTAGATCTTGTCTCTTCCTTTTTTAAAGGAAAATCCTTTAAATCCTTGAAGCAATTAACATGCTCTATATTCCTATAACTCTCAATAACAGCATTTATGACCATTTTCAAAGCTGAGTTTTAAATTAAATTTAAAAAAGCTGAGTGACTCAGTAAAATTCCCATCTAAGGTGCAAGTTTATCAAGTAACAACCCACAATTCAAAGATGCCCCCAACTGAACTGTTTACTTCCTTATTGTATTTTCTTGTTTACACCCACAAATCTCATCTATTTGTGCCTCAGCTCTACACACACACCTTCCTGGACTACTAGGTTAACTTTGTTTTCCTGCAATTGAAGAAAAATACACTTCGAACACCCCCACCTGTATTGAGAGATGTCTCAAATACAGCAGATCTCCAACCCCCTACTGCTTAGGGGTGAAAGCCCCTCCAGGTGTGGAAGTTTCTTCTTGCCCAAGAAGCAATGGCTCACTGAACAAGCAGCACTCTGGACAGGCTTCTCTGAACTGCCAGTCACAGAACACTCAGTAACAGCTAAGACCAGGACTCCCCTCAAACCTTTCCTTCCCAAACCACCACTTACAGCTATTTTTCAAGTTACTCTCTTTGAGTTAAAATCTGACTCTCCATGCTAGAGTATCTTGATTAATTTATGGTCACAGACTTGCAGGCAAGTAGGGCAAGGCTACAGTGCCAATATTGCACTTTCCTTGCAAAAGGATTACTCCTCTACAGCAGATAAAAAGCCTGTTCTCCCTCTCTGAAATTTCATCATACTAAATTAATATGTATCAGCCAAAAGCTTATTGTTCCATTAGTTGCTATGTAAGTTAGATTTCTAGAATAGAACCAGTTAAGGGAGTACCAGAAAAAAAAAGTTGTCAATTAAATATATCAATTAGCTGCTGGTTAATGAACAAATAGTAGCCTTTAAGGTCAGCAGACATTATGATCCTTTTCAAGATGGAGATGCTGTCAGAAGTCAATTAATGGATTATGTTTAATGAATCATCTCAATCCATGACAAAGTTTTGTGGGTGTGAACATACCTATTTTTTTTCCTAGGAACACTTAATTGAATTAAAACATATATAAAAGCTAGATTTTTTTTCTGAATAAGACCATTTATTTTTAGCAAACAGATGAGTCTTTACGAAGAACTGGAGGCGGCAACAGCTGCTCTCTTGGGCTTCGGTGTGGTCCCCTCACGGAATCCATTCCTGCAAGTAGAAATGAAGTCACTGCTTCAGCTTGTATTTTCTAACAGGTAATGCTTTAGGTAAAATTCACCAGTTTTTGTCCAGCTCATCTCAGTAATGCACTGAAATCACTATGAAACTCATATGTTCAGCCATTTTTAATATGAAACATCATTGATAAGCTATCTGGAATGAACAGTAAGTTTTTTTCCCCTCTCCTGATAGAGAGAATTTCATTTCTTCAAACAGGAAGATTTCAGCAACTGGCTGAACACTTCAAGACTGAATCAAACAGAGCAGAGCTGCTACAGGCACTCTGTACTTTATGGCCCTACTAAGCAACACAACTAAAGGTGGTTTCATTTTTGTTAGCACCAAAATACAAGTTCTGTTCAAAAAAAAACACACCTTTTTTAATATGAAAAATACATAATACAACAACAACAGGTAAGTTCAAGCTCACTTTTGGATATGGCATTTCTACTTCAGCAACATTTGGTGGAAAGCAATAGCTTGCAGTTAAGTTACCTTCTGTCTGCTGCTAGGCGAAGACAGTGACTGACCATAAACAGCAGCTGAAATAATTCAATTGTGCCCTGGTGCCTGGGCTTCAGACTCCCACTTCCACTTACTAAGTTTAACTTATTTGCACTCATTAATAGTGAACTAGCGAATTTTGTTTTACCATTAGAAAATTGTGATTTCCTACATTTTTAAGAAATGATTTTAGAATTATTTGATCTAATAGTTACAAAAAAATCTATTTTAGAACATGGAAACAATACAGAAATTCTTAATGAGTTTCTTAGAAACATTACAGTATCCCCACAGCACCTCTTAAATACAACTCAAAGCTCTGGAGGAAGCTTCAGTCTGATTTTACAGCTAGCAAGCTATAATTAAATCCCAAATAACACAACTACTGAAATACTTAAATTCCAAATTTTGTGTGCAGGGTAACTGGAAGCTATATCAAGGTTCATCTTACAAGATCCACATAAGTGCTATCACTAAGAAACCTACAGATAAAGGCAATTCTACACAAAACATCATCTATTTTGAAGCATGGTCATTTTAAAGCAAGAACCAATGTTTTGTACTATCTACCCCTATTAGAAACACTTGTTATGCATCCTATGCATGACAAGTGACAAGTATGACAAATGAGCAAGCTTTTTATCCCAGAAAGACCATGCTGCCAGAAAACAAGGCGCCCTTTATTTCACAAATATACTTAAAAAGTCCAAGACCACATCACACTAAATATATTAAACTCAATGCCACATGTTATTTCAGTGATACACCTTACAACAAGGCATAACCCATGCAAGATTCCCCACTACACCAGCCTACACTAAAACACCCTACCTGAATCGACGGTAGACCTTTTTCAGGTGCCTCATGCGACCCGTACCCGTGGTGTTGCGTCTCTTTGCCTTGGCACTCCAGTTATCTAGGAGAGATACGTTACTGTTACTCATCTGCATGATTAATTCTTTGATGCACATGAACAGCACAACTATGCAATCTGCATAATAAACAATAATAAATAAATAAAACAAGTTCTATTAAAACAAGCCCACTTCCATGCAGTGCTGCCACACAGCTGCGGTGTGACACAGCACAGGGGGTGCTAGGCCCATGCGCAGCCACTCGCTCACACTTTCGCTTGCGCTTCGCGGGGTAGCCACACTTGCCACACATGGACTTCTGCAGGTGGTAGGCCTTGGAGCCGCAGCGGCGGCACAGCGTGTGCGTCTTGTTGCGCCGCTTGCCGAACGACGAAGTGCCCTTCGTCTGAAATGCATTTCGGGACAGTGTTACAAGGACATCCAGCAAGTACGA